CGTTTACAGTCATTATGCTAAGACAACCGCAGAGACTATTTCTGACCAGTAAAACATGTCGATCTATAGATAAATTCTGCTTTTCTTCAGTTGACTGCACTGTGCACCAACTGGTTCAGGTGGGAGCTAGCTAGCTACCATTGCATCACGATCCAACAGTATTGTTGTGGAAATACTGTGCCCACCCTTCGGACTTGCCCGGGTCATCCCAGTGGGTAAGTGGCTCAGTTTTGATCGCAAATCCCCTTTATCATTGTTAACCTTGTTATTACTGCTTAAACTGTTAGCTGCGAACTGTTGGTGGTGCTAACATAGTTAACAACGCTAGCAGGGTTTTGCAACTCAAAATGAAGCCACTTACTCAGCGGGGCTATATGTGGGGAGACTGGAGGGTGGCTACCATGTTTCCACAGCAATGCCATTTCGCCGGCAGGATGGTGTTACCGGTGGTAATCGCCGAATGAGCAGCTCTGGCTAGCTCCCATTCAACCCAGTGGTGGCCTTGAAATGCAGGATTGTTACCCTTGGTATCACTGTTCGCACAGTTAGCTGTGTACTGTTGGTGATGCTAACGTAGTTAACAATGCTAACAGGGTTTTGCAGCTCCAGATGGAGCCAATTACTCACCGGGTCTATATGGGGGGAGACTGGGGGTTGGCTCCTGCTGGCAGGATGGTGTTACCAGTGGTAATCGCCGAATGAACAGCGCCGTGAGCTAGCCTCCTTTCACACCATTGGTGGCTTTGAAATGCCTCACGAAGGCTCCCTGAGTCAATTGAACATTGAACTAAATGGGAAAGGCCTCTTGTATTTCATTTAATTTTGCATTTTTCTTTTTACTAAAAAATAACCAGTTAGTTACCAGCTAATAGGTGGGGACCAACAAAAACAACATTAATCGAGACTGGCAAACAGAGTGGTATCAATTTTCCCATATTTGCAGAAAGAAAGCAAATAATTACTTTCCCAAAATGTCAAAACTATTTTTAACTCCATGAGTGGATTCAGACCCAAACCCCCCTGTGTTGGTATTAATGCTGAATATACCATGCAGACTGGTAGATTAAAGGACAGGCAGATGGTGTGGGTTTTTACAGCTTCTTGTATCTTTGTACTCTTTTCTTATTTACCCAGGCATGCAGACTTTTTAACATTGTTCTGTTTTACAAAACATCCCGTCTGTCTTTGCTTTCAGATTTCGTTCTGATTTAACTTCAGTAGACATGTGACATAGGTTCCCTGTCTGCATATTCTGGGAGCACCCATCACTGGTACAGGATGATGGATGACACTTTCCCCCAGCAAGCCAGGGATCTGTGGGCGCAGACGTCTTCCTGTGAAATGTCGCACCCTTCTGTCCTCAACATCACTGTGAATACAAATGACAGTTTGTTTGCCATCTGTGGACCAAGTGGCTCTTCACTCAAAGGGCCAGGGAGGCTATACTCTGCATACAAGTCAACATTAGGGGACAGAGAGAGCTATTTCAACTGAGCCAGAACAGAATATTACATCGTTTAGGTTAAAATTTAGATTTTTTCCCGCTCTTTATTCACTTGTGTTGACAGTGGTAACAAATAGACTGAAGCAGGGTTTTTATTTTTGACCCTTTGGGTGAAATTAACACCTTTTCCTTTGTAAATCATTCACTCTTGACGTTAAGAGGCTTGCAATTGCAATCTCCCTAATTCCATGTTTTCATTTAACAGCTAAAAGAGTACTTTATTTGATTGAGCTTAGTTTCCTGAGAGCGAGCACTAGTGTCTTCTCCATAATCTAATGATACTTGTCTTTGAGGCCGGGCTACCGCAGAGAGTTTTAAAGTGCTCTAATGTGCTGGCAATGAGAGTAAAGGATTAGTGTCTCAAACTACAAATGTTACCAGTGCTCATGGTGCCTAACAGATGATATTTTTTTACATCCTTGTTCTCATCTTTACCCAGCATGTCTGCCAGTAGGTGCACAGAAAACGACATCAAGGTCCTGAGAACACTTTTTTAGTGCCGTTGCCTCTCCTGGGCCTTCTGTTCTGTTATCTATCATATCGCCAAACATGTCAAAATGTTCATTTCTTTGTACTTTTTACATCAAAATCCTGTGTCTGCCAAATGTGTCAAGAGTTCTTTGTTGACTCATCCAAGTCTCAGAGGCAAATAAACAGAGATTCAGCCACCCCTTCTCATTTTACAAAACATGCAAGTCTGTCAAGCAAACTAGCACTAAAGCAGCAGGTCAGAGGCATTTAGGCCACATATCCTCATACAATCGTTCTTGTGATATCCTACACATTCGTGCACCTACCGGTTAGGTTAGGTTTAGGAAAAGAATCATGGTTGGGTGCTGCCACATTCTACATGTGCGTAGGCTAACTTAAAATAACTCAACATTGACTTCTGGTTTCACACAGGACATGAACAGCAGTCTCTTGGGTCAAAGTCCTGCGTTTTTGTGACTTGTCCACAAACCTGATCTCCTTCTTTATTTGTTCTTTAAACTAGAGCTCAGTGATAAAACAATAACGGTAATAATCAAAATATAGTTTTCAGATGTAAATAGAACAAATGTTCGATAAAAGTTCGATATAATTAAACAAGGCAAACACTGGAAGATTGGGGTTGCTAATACTCTTTAAATGCTTGTTGCCACCTGCGATTCAATGGAAGATGAGAGCAGCCACTGACACCGACATCAACTCATCTAATGCTAACAGTATGATAGCAAGTTAATGTTACGTTAGTTGCGGCTATTTCAGTAGAATGAAATGACATAAATAAATGTGTATAAATGTAACATTAATAAAACTTTAATACATCCGTGATCATGATTTCTGTCTGAGTCACGTCAGACAGATTTTCAGTGGCAATGAATTAATGATCCCACGCTGCTTCGTGACATCATCGAAGTCTGTCTTTTGTTATTGATTTGATTGAGGAAAGGCAGACTGTGCATTTAAAACTATGGAAATTACTAGCAACAGTTGAGATTTCTTTCTTTTGTTTACTCCGTTTGCTAAAAATCTTACAAAATGTTTTAAACCATCTGCACAAGTTTGACATGCTGCTTACCAGAATTAAGATTTCTTTGTCTATTTATGGTTTTATTTTAGACGTTATTTGATTATAACTGTTTGACATTTACCTCAGATGTATGATAATTATTGACATCGACTGATGTGCCCATTTTCTAACATTTCAGGCCATATCACCCATCCTTACTTTAAACTACAGCACCTGACTTTTTCCTTTGCTCCCATCACATGAATCAGCACAGTCTGCACCACATGGGTCATGTGATTGCAGCTTCCTGGCTCACAGTTATGTGGGTTATACACAAATTATAGTACATCACTTCTTTTCGTAGGTGTAAGTTCAAATAGTGACTGAGAACAGTCTGATTTAGGGGCAATCATTTTGCAGCAACATCAATATAAAGCCTGAGGCTCAGGACAAAAGTCTGCCTCTCTTCCTTTCTCCCCCCATTATTGGGATGATGGAAGCAATCCTGAACAACTATGACCACTTCTAGTTTGGAGGCTTTGTCCCACCTGCTTTTGTGTTCTAAAATTAACTCCTTCTTCACTTTAACTTCCACCCTAACATCCTATTTCATGTAGAGCTATGTCTAATCACAGAGGGAAAAGACCTTTTCAAAGCTTTAACACAGTTTCAGTTGCACTCCCATCAGGGTTACATGCACATATACGTATACAGCAGTTTTACGGGGGTTGTGGATGAAAAATGTCCTCTAAAGTGGCACATAATACCCAACAAAACTTTCCTGGCTGGCAAAGTGGCCTCGTAGACTGCACACCAGTTACCCTCAGGCAGGGTCATAAAACCCCTGAAGCCTCATGACAAAAACCTTTTAATTCTTTTGTAAACAAAGACAGGTCTTGAATATTGGATGGAGTCCACTCGTTCTCTTAGGAATGGAATACATATTTTAATCTGAGCCTTCACACCCTAGCAGAGTGCAAATATATTTTGTATGTATGAATGATTCTCTGTCAAAATCTGCAGAGGGAGACATGTAGAAACAGCTGTTTGCAGCTCATTGTCTGTGGATTGCCTGATATCGGACAGAATTGTCAACTTGTTTCACTCCATTTCCATCTTCAGTCTGACATTGTGTCTACTCTAATTTCTGTGGGGGGGAAGGAGATCCGACTTTCCATAACCAATTACAAGAAACCAATGTATCTGCCTGAATGGGTCAGGACCATTAGCACTCTCAAATGGTGCGCAGACTCCTCTTTTTCGGCGCGGTGGAGTCGACCCCTTGTGGCAGCTGTTAGTGAGCCTTAGATGTGCTGGTGTTGGGGTTTGGTACCTGTGGACAGAACCAGGCTAGCTGTTTGCCTTTGTTTAGCAAAGTTAAGTGGCTGCTGGCTGTAGCCTCTTATCTAGTGTACAAATATGAGATTGGTATTGATCTTCATCTAATTTTCTTCAAAAAAGTGGATAAGTGTATTTGTCAAAGTGTCAAACTATCACATAAATACCACTATATTTACAGCATTGACATATTTAACAGCATATCTGAATATATGTTGTTTCCCTCTCAGTACGTACTTTTTAAAAGGTACATTTTTTAATGTTCACAATCCAACGAGAAAATTAAACTGCCAAATATCCATTATATTATTACAGTCACCAAGGTGCATTTAAATTCTAATGGAAAAATTTAAGCAAAGTAATCAAGTTGCTGTAACTGCACTGATTAAAGTCAAACACCAGCGCTCAAGATAATAACTTTTTAAGAATCACGTTTTTGATTAAAAATACCTACTCGACATTTCGAAGAGAATAATTCAAACCACAAACGTTGTTGAGTTAAATATTTCAGCGCTATAAATTCGGTGGTATTTAAAATCAACATAAAACATTCAGTGGTGGTTAAATTTCACATCTAGGTATTCACTTGCTTCTCCTGCTCTGAAGTTGAAGGATTACCCTGAATAACCACTCATTGTTATATGTCCTGTTCGTTTGTGTTTCCAGTCTCGGCAGACCCCAGAGGGCGAGTTCCTGCCACTGGACCAGTGTGAGCTGGACGTAGGTTTCGGGACGGGGGCGGACCAGCTCTTCTTGGTGTCACCTCTTACCATCTGCCACGAGATCAACACCAAGAGCCCGTTCTTTGATCTGTCGCAGCGCTCACTCATGAACGAGCAGTTTGAGATTGTTGTCATCCTAGAAGGAATCGTGGAGACGACTGGTTAGAACAAATTGTTTTTTATATACAGTATATATACTGTATATATATATATTTTATTCCTAATAACTTTGAATAAACTTTCCATTCCCTAATCATTTCATCGTCATTTAGCATGTGGCATGGAGCATTTCTCAGTAATATAAAATAAAATATTTAAAGGAATGTTTAATTTCATGGTCTTTAATTATTCAAAAGCACAAGCTCCTCTCCGTCTCTGTCGTATTTCTTTTTTTCATATCTCTGTCTGCCTTTTCCCTGAAGCTATTCTCCAATTTTCAATTCTGCTATCTGCTTGTGGCTGTGTGTCCATTTTTATTTAATAGCTCACTTTCTACACATTTCTTCATGCTTTTAGTTATCTCCTTTTTGTCTTTTTCTTGTCTGTACTTTAAATATTTCTCTATATTTATCTCTCCTCTCTCCATTGCAGGAATGACATGCCAGGCAAGGACGTCTTACACCGAAGATGAAGTCTTGTGGGGCCATCGTTTCCTCCCTGTCATGTCACTGGAGGAGGGCTTCTTCAGAGTCGATTACTCCCAATTCCACAACACCTTTGAGGTCAATACGCCTCCCTACAGTGTAAAAGAGCAGGAGGAGAAGTCCTCATTGACATCGCCCAACTCTCTCCCTGTCGCACCCACCCCCTCCTCTCCTCTGCTGGGTAACGGTGGCCGCGGAGGCCGCAGGGAAAGGCTTCTGTCAGCTGACTATGCAGACCATGTAGAGGACCAAGCCTCCAGGCTGCCCAGCAAGCTCCAGCGCATGAGCTCTACCAAGGAGGAGCACCTCTGGAGGGGACTGAAGACGGGGCCAGCTTTGCCTGGGGGGAAGGCATCCAGCACAGGAGACCTTCCACTTAGCATTCAGAGGCTGAGGTCCAGCTCCATCCCAGTTGCGAGGCAAGGACAGCTGGAGGAGCAGGTCCAGCTGCTGTCCTTGGATGGAGAAGCTGAGGAGGGTGAGCTGGAGAGACATAGACTGCCAGCAGCCATTAGCACCGTCTCTGCCCCAACCCCAACCCCAGTCCAGATCCCCTTGGTAGGGAGTAGGCCAGAGGACAACCTGCCCGCCAAACTGCGCAGAATGAACGCTGACCGCTGACTTCTTTTCTGCAGACTACTTTTAACTTTTAAGACTTTTGAAAATTGAATCAGGCTTGATGGGCATTGCATAAAAATAAAGACTACTGTGATATAAGTTTTATTTTTTTTTCTGCAGATTTCGGTCAGTATTTTACATTTACTTATGGGCTCTCTACTTAGTTGTCTAATGCCACAAATAGAATGACAACACTAATAAGCCATCCATCCGCTCATACTGTGAGTCATTTTTGATAGATCACCATCTGTGCCCCCCCACTGACCTCGAACACTTCTGCCCTTGTGCTTGTTTCTTTCACTTAATGTTTATAGAGTTGCATCAAAGACTTTATTGTCTCAAACTACACTTCTCTCAACTAATGAAGCACCAAAGTGATTGTCACAAATAAGACTGATCTGAATTGACCATTCGCTAACCCCCTACCCCAGAACAGTGATTGTCTAATCATAGCTTAGCAACTGTAACTAGGCACGGCAGATCTGTCAAGCTTTGGATTTCTCCACATGCTTCAAACAGTGTACATGAGGCTTTAGTGAGACAAAAGACCCACTGAAAGCAGCATGATGCAAAGTTTTCCCTCATTTATTTTCTACGGGGTGTCAGCAAAATAATTCGAAAGATACTGTGGGCTTCCTTGTGATGCAGGAGTGACCAGTGATATGAAAATAAGGAGGGGTCAAAGGTTAAACATTTTTAACTGGATGCAAATGAGGGCGAAATTAGCTTTGTTTGCTTCCGGGGGGTCTTCACCACAAGAGTGGTACCTCTGCATTTAAAGAGTTTGGATCAGCGTTGCCAGATATGCGATAATTATTGTTTTTGTATGATAATTTTGCCCTCTATGATGTACGATCCATAATGCCAAAAAGTGCCATAATGTACTACCTTTTCTGATGATAACAATTAGCAATTGGTTTCAGTATCATTTTACTTGATTTCCTGATGTGTTCAGGCGTACAAAATATGGATCCTAGGGACTCTTAGGGACTCATCCCCTCTTCCAGAAATCCTAGCTACATAAGCTTGCATTAAAACATTTTTAAAAAGCAGGTATATTTGTAGGCACGTCAAAAAGTTGTTTCCATACGTATTTTGTTAAATTACACATTATTTATACCTATTTGTTCTTGTGCTTATGACTCACAGATGATCTTTTTTTTCAAAATACAACATTTTGAAGCCTATTTTCCACATGGCAACGCTGGTTTGTATGGTGGTATATTTCTTTTAACCTTTCAAAACCAAAAACACAAGCAAAAGTGTGAGAAATGGATTAAACTGTGTGTTTATATGCTTTAAAGTAAGCATGTCTGGCTAACAAGCTTAGTACCTGTAGTTTGTGGGGTTACAGCTAGCGGCAACCTCCAGCACTGAAAAACAAAGCCAACACGAAGTGCAAAAAACTGCAGTCTTTTAAATGGCCATTTGAGGCTGGCTCCAGAGGCGAGTCTGTCCCAATATACCCCCATGTTAAAATGCTCAACTTAAGCTTAAATAAACATGTCTACAGCTTGGTACAAAAATCAGTTTTGGTCTGTATAGCTAATTTCCCTCATCATGACAACAGCACAGACGGTAAATTTTTATGTAACTCACCGGTTACATTTTATTATGGCTTAAAATTATGCATATTTAAGGGGAGGGCCACATGAGTGACAGGCTGTGTGATCAATCCACCACCTCAGAATGCCTCCTTGGGCCGCTCGGGACCACTTCTTTTTTCACTCCCGTCAGCGCATTGGTCACATGATCACAGCCTTTCAAAATACTTGGGTTATGCACAAATTACTGGCTCAACATTACTGGGAGTATGTATAAATTTTGGCACATTACTTTTCATAGAAATACATACGAACAGTGTATGAGAACAGCCAGAGTATTTCCACACTGTGTGGAAGCTGATCCTGGAAGCCATCAGGGTGTAGCTAATGTTAGCAGCTCTGTCCTGCAGGTGAGGATGCTGGCTTTTTACATGGACCTATTAGCTTTAGCTTGAGTGTTTTAGCACAGTATTGTGTATGTAGCCATCAAGTGCATATTTAAGACCATATTTCATCATTTTTAGGAGAGGCAGGTGAAAATATTAACAAAAGTATCCAATTTTTAGCCAACTCATGAAGCTAATGTTAGCTTAACTAGCTAGCTAAGGTACAGCTGGTTGCTGGCTGGAAATGGTAAACCTGCTTTTGTCTACCTCTGTGTAAAATGAAGTATTGTTCGATTGCTAAGAATTCTGTGTGGTAGTCTGCCACCGTAATCACTGTAAACTGCATATGTGCCATGTGAGAACGAAAGCTTGACAGGCATAGTGACAGTAACTTGGGCGGATGGGGCTTAGCTAACGGTCAATCAATGTAAACTGCATAAAAAAGTCATAAAACCCTGAAACACAAGTCAGGTTGATACACTATATTTATTTATCACTTGTACTGAATATTTGTTTGTTTGAATGCTCATTTGATTTGTATGTTTACTACTGTACAATTTTAACTATTTTTTACCTCTGGGTGCAGTGTTTGCATTGGCCCGTTATACGCATGGGTGACAAAATGTAATCACGGTTTTGGACTCTTTTATCATGAACTGATTTACAAAAATGTAAAACAAATATTTGGGATTGCAGGGTTGCTGACATCAGGGGACACGTGTATTATTGCTAATATAAAAGGTAAGATAAAACTTCATATTGCAACTGCTAAATAATAAATTATTTGAAATCACAAGTGTTTCTGTGAGTATGTTATTCTTTTTCCATAGAAATGCTCACCTTTTCTGTGGGACTGAGTTCAGCATTTAAAAGGGTACTTCACCAACTTTCAACAGCCCCCCGGCAACACTTCGATGGCTCTTGGGCTGTTGCCATAGATTTCAATAGCTGGATACCAGACGCCAAGATGGTGCCAATTCATTTTAATGGAGTTGGTCGCCTGGCACATACGGCAAAAATGTTTTCTCCCTTCCTGGTTTACTCCTGTGGTATGCAGCCCACTGAATACACACAATAGTGTTCTCCAGCTGTCCCTGCCCGCAAGTTCCTGCCAAACATAAAACCACCATGGCTCAAAAAATTCAAGACTAGAAAGATTCATATAGGCACCATCTTGGCATCTAGTATCTAGTATGACCTTACCTCTTTCTCTTTCAAACTCTGACCAAAGTCCAATCTAACAATAAGGTAGTGCTGATCGAATATATATTAAGATTATGTTCCTGCATTGCCTATTTCTAACCAACATTGTTTTTAGAAAAATATTTTAGTGCCGTTTTTAGCTGTAATAGCGAGAGTTTGTGAACAGGAAGTGGGTGCCTTCTGTTTCCTGCACATTCAACCCTGAAGCCGAAGTTAATGAATTGTCTCTTTCTCATCTCAGATGTTTTCAGAAACACGTTTTAGCTTACTGTTAAACTGTATGAGATTGAGATTGTTTCTTGCCAGCCGGACGCTATTTGTTTTAAATGGGTGTGTTTGCATTATGTCACTTACCAGCAGGAGCGTTTATTGGTCTCGTGCAGTGCAGTATATTTTGGTAGTTTTTCTCCCTCTTGAGCAAAAGCGTCCTTTTACTCTGTTTCTCAGTTCTGTAGCACCGATTTGAAAAGTATTTGTGTCTTTCTACTGCAGAGACATCCTAGTTTTATTAAAAGGCCATCTTTCCAGCAGTGAAATACTTCTTTAAACACCCTGAGGTATTTCAGCCTGCAAAATGCACCAGCAGCTCATGTGTCACCTGCTGTGATGGTTAAATCAACATTCATCAAATATTAAAGCCTTAAATGGAATTGTGAGTTGTTTCTGTTCTGAGGCAAGTTTTAAGAGGGCAAGAGTTTAGAGTTAAAACTTCAGACAAAATCCTCTGCTGGCATTCAAACCCCGGCTGGTAGGTTAACGTACTCTACTCTGTCCTCTGCTCTCTTGAAATGAAAGCCCTTGGCCTTACTCTGGCTGTAGCTTCAACTAATTATTTAAGTTTTCCTGTAGCTGACAGTCATGCTGTTCACCAGCCTGGTCAATGGCACTTTTGTGGCTATTAAGATAGAAGTGCTCCAGAGGAGGGCAATTTTCCAGACATTACACATCTGAGGATGTCCAGAGCTAATTAGTCATATTGCAAAGAATAGCATAAAACAGAAATTTGATTATGTAACTCGTTGACAGTGCAAAATGACCTCTGCCCAGCTTAAGATAAAATTATATCTGATAAATGATAGGGAGAGAATGAATCCCGGACCATTCTCCACACAGACATAATACTGTATAATGATGGATTCAACTGTAAAGGAAAATCTGTTTTGCTCATTCCTCTGCCATTAAATTGTGCTTGGGAAATGGATGAGTCTAATTTTCACTTCAGTTGCACTTCCTTGGTGGAATGAAGGTTATTACATCTATAGAAAAGAATAAAAGTACGTTTGTAAGCTTGGACTAATTTCACATCTGAATCAGGCTATTATATCTTCCTGAAATGGATGAGATCTAACAAAACCATAAAGTCCTTGAAATGGACAGAAATGCAAATATTCACATAACAGATGGAAGATGAGTTTAACATCAGAGTGTCCTTCTGTGTTTATGTCTTGGCCACCATAAGGACGTTGTATTTAAAAAAATACATTTCAGATGATTAAGAGCAGGAGGTTGACAAAGCTCACACAACATTGTGCTAAAAACCCATTAAAGTGATGAAAGTTGCATAAGCTTTGTTGAACTACACCTTCATGCACTGATTAAAAGTAACTAAGGACATTTACTCATGTACTCTACTTACTTCTGATTTTAATTACATTTACCCTACAACATTTCATAGATAGATATGGCACTTTTTACTCCACTGCATCTATTTCATATCAACAGTTCTACGTACTTTTCAGATTGACGTTTTACAAATGTTTATGAAATATGATGTATTGTAGAACTACCCAATAGTATATAAAGCTGTTAAAAAGCTCTATCCTTAGTACTTTTTGCTGATAACACTTAACACACAAAGAAATTTCAAATGTATTACTTTTATTGGTGTAGAAGTATTTTCAGTGTTGTTGCTTTTACTAGAGTAAACCATCTAACCATCAAAAGTGGTCTGATGCTGATATTGTTGAATTATTGGTAATTTGTTCTACCCTTAAAAGAGACTTATTCAAGAATCACAACAGCCCAAAACCATTAGTAATCAGTGTGATCCATGTTTACAATTACAGTCGTTATGTTCCTTTATGATTACAAGAGTTGCAGTCATTGTCAGGTATAGTCCAAAGCTGCATTTTATGCCACCATAGAGGCAGACAGCCCTGCAGAGCGTGACTCTGTGGGCTCTGTATGTCTGCATGTTTATCTGTGTGCACCGGGAAACACAGCGAGACGCTCTCAGAGGGAGCACAGTGATCAGATCACACATCCACATTGACCAGATGCTCATCCATAGTCAATGAGCACAGAAACTGTCGCTTCTCTAAAGCACGGCACCATTAGCTTGGTGAGCCGGGCAAATCGTGTGAATTGAGAGATCATCTGGGATGTGAGGATTCAGCTCTGTTGTATTTTGACCTCTTGACATGGATATGGTCATTTACAGGTATCAGCAGCTGTGAATAAATCTGTATGTATGAGCCGGAAATACTTAAAGAGTGTAAGATGAGTTTGCTCTCACTGATGAAGCAATCATCAAACTACTGAAGAGGGAGGAGTGGGAGTTTCTCTTACTGTAAATGCACACCACGTCCTTTGTTCACACATCAGAAAATTTAAAATCAAAACAGACACAGAATATCACAGGGTATAAAAACTTAAACACAAATCTTTTATCTGGATAAATTAAAAATGTCTACACGATATTTTACTCAACAGAAAATCTCCAAATGGTCATGAGCGAACCTGCCAGATTTTTAAAGTTTCCTTTTGATCACCATGACAGATCGGAGCAGGCATAATTTACTTGTGGTGTCAGCTGTGTTGTGCCCACAGGCTCGCTCTGGGCAGCCTAGGTAAATAGTGCTCAGCTCTCCCCTGCAGAATCTCAATTGCTTTTCTTTATTTGCTTTCTCTGTGAGTCACCATACATCAATTCAAGTGCTCTTTATTTCTGTGCTGTCCCTTCAGCAGAAAGTCCAGGCTGAGGAGTGTAAAATAAA